ACATCTGAATCCTGTCTCTTGCACAGTCCAGAATCAGTCTTGAAGAGAAAGCATTCTCACTCCGCTGACATTAGGATGGTGGGTGGCTCTGGTGGGTGGCAACCATCCCAAGGCAGAGTTGGAACAAGATGGTCTTGATTGCTGCTTCCAATCTGAGCCATTGGATGACTCCAGTGATGTGTGAAGTAGGATAGCACAAGAGTCCCTCCTAGCTGTTGGAAATGATGGATAGTTTGAGGTTACTACTACTACAGAAGAATATAGGAAATATCTCTTTTCTGTAGCTTGTGGCACTAGATGTTTGACTGTGAGAGGCCAACACAGAAGAGCTCAGCAGATGACCTTTTCTTTGGTCAGCCTGAAAGCAAATCATCTCAGTCTTTAACAGCAAGATCTGCAAGCCAGCGTGCGGAGATGCTTAGCAAAACAGCATTATATATGAAAATGTATACTCTAAGACATTTTGCAATCATAATATAGTATATGCAATTGCCAGGTGGTAATCATGAATTGCCTCCAAATAGAATTAAAATGTGAGGCAAAGCAAGAGATTGTTACTACAGTCAGCTCCTATGGAAAAAGTGTTCTGTAACTTTAGCAGACTCATGACTTTCAAAGGGAACTACATCCACATCCATACAGAAAAGAGAAACGGGAAACTGATTCACATAGAGCAACGTCTGCTTCAGAGCAGATATTCCCCACGGGGGTAACAGCTGCTGTCCTGGCTCGGGATAGTCAAGCAAACTGAAGATCAAATCTGAGCAGTTCTTAAGTATTTGAAAATAAAAGCACATTCCTGGATTCAGTCAGCACAGAACAGGAGACATGTTGCACATGCAGAAGCTCTAAATATATGTTAGCATTCCAATTTAGAGGTGACAGGGAGCTTAAGGTCCACCTTAGCCTGACAGTGTACATGAACAAAAATAAAACACATATAAAGAACCCACCTTTTCCCCTGTGATAAGTGTGAACAGTGCAAGCTGAAGGAACAAGACTCAACAGAGAATCTCTGCAGTGCAGGAACACTTGGGAACGCTTTATTCTGCCAGCACATTTGGCTGGGAACTTGAGGAGCATAACAACAAGCATGTGTGACCTCTCTGACTCCTGAAAATTTTGGAAACTGATAGTTTAAATTCCACACACCCTACAGAAACAAACTTACTTACGACAACATACATAGATTACTCTGACATAATCGATCTAGTTAAAGTTTTCCCGTGGAGAGAAACCTAAGACATTCAATTTAAAGACGGTTTAAAGTAACATTTTCCCAAATTAAGCTTTAAAAAGCATTGCCCTGTACAAAGCTTGCTACACAACTTTGAAACCAAGTCACAAATCCTGAGGGAAGCTGCTTAGATTGTTTGTTGCTGAGATAAAAATGACCAAGTGATAAATCATCCTGCAGTGATTGCTTTCTATGTGTCAGGTATTATCATAAAGGAAACTTGTATACCCCACACAAATCCTCACACCAAATGCATTTATTTGATATTACCATCTGTTACCTACTGTTATATCTTGGTGACACTGTGAGTTTCCTCATCCCTTTGCTGTAAAAGATGCAAGGCTTTGCCGTGGAGAGGAGCAGTCCCAGATTTTACTCAGGCCCAGCTCTACATCCCAAGACTTGGACAGTTCTCAGGCAGGGTAAGAGGAGATCTGCTTTGGATTCCCTGCTTCACCAAGCAATTTGAGTAACCTAATCTATGCCATACCCAGCTCTTTAAAAGGTACCTCGCATCCAGATTCCATATTACATAAGAAGTGGGCAAGTCTGAATCGCTACAAACCTGCACCACCTTCTTGTATAAATACAAAATATGTAACAGGAGACACATAACCTTTCCCTCTGTTATAAGAGCATCCAATACCCTTGTTAAAATCCATCTAATACACTCGTTAAAAGCTGCAACGCCAATCCTAAAGCATTAGTGGCCTCTGACTGACAGATCATTACCAGCACCCTGATTTTAAAATATTGCTGTAGCAATTGGATGGATCAGTACAAGGGGAAAGGCATTACAACCAAAGTGTGATGATGGGAGAACCGGCACAAGAAAGAGGTGCTATGGAGGAGGGGAAGAAGATTGCTGACCTGTATCAGAAGATTCCAGGTTTGAGGGGGAAAGCTTCCCCAAAGAACGATCTCCAACCAGAACTCCCTCCCCACCAGCAGTCAGCCCTTCAGTGAGGTCTAAGAGAGGTGCAGCCAGGCTCCACCCCTTCCTATCACACAGCTGAATTGCCTTCACCCGTGCTCCCAGTGCTGACCAGGTCCTTCCTTCAGGTGCTCAGTCAGTGGTTCGGGCAAAGACTCAACAGTTCCCATACAATTGCCAAGGAAAAACAACAACAAGGTGGAGCTGAAATGTCATTGTAGCAGATGTCATTTTGTACCTGAGGATTCCTCCCCACAAACCACTTCATACTAAAGTGTTCATTCTAAATCTTCAGCAACTGCTTCCATCTCTCAGACACATTTACAGCTATCGCTGAGATCAGTAGGATCCAGAGTACATGAGATACTGCTCAAGTAGTTGCTTGAGTAGAGAGAAAAAAAAATATCAGATGTCTTTTTTAAAAAATGATCACAGAAAAACACCCAAACCAACCAAACACTAACCCTGAAATCTTCAGGGCAATTCAGTCTGACACCATTGAATGGTATCTCAAACTCTTTGAAAGACTCTCCAGAACAGCTCAGGCAGCTTGTCTTCAGGAGGGGTCTTTTTGCTAAATAATTTTCCATACGTGCAATGGCTTACTTGAAAAAGAAGCACCTTCTCAGCAGAGGGTGGAGAGTTTGTAAGACGTTTCACGTGGGGAAGCTTCACAGAACTATTTCACAGCAGAGCTTCCTCAAAAGGTCATCACTCAAGAGGACAGCACTCAAGTGGCTGTATGCTATCTGAAAAGAAACCCACGTTCTTGATTTACGTCAGGAGGTGAGAGGAGATATTTTGCAAATGGTGTAGCTCTGTATACACAATGGCGTGTTGATTTAGAGGTGCTAGGAAGCTTTGGGTCCACCTTGACCTGGTAGTACACATGCATGTTAATAAATACAAAAATATTAAAAACTCACTTCTTCTCCTGTGACAACTGTGCTGACAGGGCAGTCTGCAGGAACATGTCTTGACAGAGGATCCCTACAGTGCTGGAACAGCTGGAACCGCTTTCCTAACACCAGGTCAGCTCCAATGTAGCTGCCACATTAGAAGCCCAAATTTAGATAAGCTAGGGATATTTTAACATCTTACTGATAATACAGCTGGGTTGTGTTACTTTACATTTTACTTAGGCAGAGTGGTACATATAAATATAGACAAGATTTTACACCTTCAAAGCAAGACCCTACTTAAAGTTCAAGGGAAAAGTGAGCCAAATTTAGTAGCAGGAACACATTCTGGGTTTGCAGCTATTAAGAGCCACGCAACACCTGCTAGCTGTGTAAGTGAATTACGTTTCACAAGAATATTTTCTTCAGTTTTGATTCACATTGTTCTCATGTCCCCAGCTTCCTACTTCCAGCTTAATCCACTCCCAGATCTCCAACAACACTGCAGCATTCTTCTGCAGCTTTGTGTGGGGAAAACAATTCTTCCAATTTTCTGCAGCACTAAGATCTTGCAGTCTTGAACTGTCTCTGCAGAACTCAGACAGGCATCAGAGGAGCACGGTGTGAATAATTACTTTGATGAGAAGCCATGTCCTGTGAGTTGCATGCAGTACAACCAATAAAGCTTCTCTGGGGCAGTGGCATGCAAACACACCAGGGGCTGCTGAGTCACCCAAACCCCCCAACTCAAGGAGAAACGAGATAGCAGAGTGTCTCAGAGACAGCACGGCGAGCCCATCTTATCTGTCAGCGACAAATGGGGATCTCCCAAAGGACACAGACATATCCCAGCTATCCCCAGAACACTGCTGATAGCTTGCTCCATGAGGTGCACAGTGCATGCAGGAAGATCTTGTATAAAGCTCAAAGGGTAGCAAAGAGCTACCAGTCTCTACACTTACAGTGCCTCATGGAAAAGTAGGAAAAATAGGTTTTATTTGCCCTGCAGGCTGTATACCTTACAATCTGATCTGCTGTGTCCCAGCAGAGCTCCAAGACAGAGGAAACAGAGGCATTCTGGCCAACAGACACTGTCTGGTAAGGTACCTAAGGGTTTATCCGAAAAGAGGTAGCAGGAGGACTGGGAGGAAAGTGGGCAGGGGCTGTCAGGGAACATCAGCCCGTAAGAGGAAAAAATAGAGTTTTAGAAGGGTGGCAGAGGGGAAGGCTGGTCCCCTCTGTACACCTGACTCCATCTCTTGGAGACAGAAATGGTCTGAAAAATTGCCTCTGAGTATTTACCTGTCCCTCAGGAGGAAATGTGCCGCTGCTAACAAGAGCAGTGAGAGGGGTGACCAGGCACAGGGCCTCTCACAAGGAAACTCATTTATCTGATCCAAGTGCTTTCCTTCCCTAATTGCGACTTCTTTTCTCGGGAGACGTTTCCTCCTGTCTGTTATTGATTGCTACTGTAATTCCTCTGTAACTGTATTAGTCATGATCTTTGCTTCCAATAAACAGGTAACCACGAATTCCCCATGTTTCTCATGGATCCTGCAGGATCCTGTAAAAGACTTTTTCTTTTGGTCCCGGCAGGGCAGATTACTAATCCCATCAGAAGACACTAGAATTATTATCAGTTTTAAACACAAACGGGAAACAAACCCCCGGATTCCCAAGCATCCTTCCCTTAGGCTGGAGAGAAGTGCTTGTCTCCTTGCCTTGAAATACTAAGAACTACATCACCTCTCATGGCTGTAATGATAACAAACATTGCAACAAATGAGTTGCTGGAAACCTACTTGCCACACTGGAGATCTGAAGGAAAGCACAGCTTCAGTGCACTGTGCCACCTTCCCCAGGGGGTACCTCAAAGCTACTTGCAAAGGGTGATTTGCTTCTACTGACCAGGCATCCCCAAAGTCACACGCTCTTGCTTTTTGTGGTGCATGTTGAGGAAGTGCTTCAGACTGAGATGAGACTCAGAAGAACCACTCCTCCTCAGAGATCTCTGAAGGGAGAAGCAGGATATTGCTTCGTGCCAGGGAATAATCTTCTTCCTAGGAGACGAGGACCAATGAACAGTCTAGATGATCATGGTGACAAGACAGTTCCTAGCCAAAAAGACAAGCTGCAGGTCCAAGTCCCATGCCAATAAACAGGGTCAGACATGGCCCAGCTACCAGCAGGCAGCTCTGAGATCAAATTAGGGAGTCAATCCATGGGAGCTGGGCACAGGTCTGTGCAGAGGAAGGCAGTACCATCAGACCATCAGAATAGCTCAGGGAGCCACTTCTTCCCAACATGCTGACATGCCTTGAGGCAGAGCAGAGCAGCTGCAGCGCTGTGCTCCTCCCAAAGCATCAGTGCAGCAGCATGGAGGCAAAGGCAAACATTCAGAAAGTGATTATACCTTCAGGTAACAGAGGTGCGAAGCTGAGCAAGCACTTGTTTGTCCACTTTCATCACTAAGCATGGGGCTTTCTTAGAGACAAAACAAACTAAACCCAACAGCACAACAGTGGCAGTTATTCCTAACAGCGAGGGGAGATAAATAACCTGCACCAATGGATAGCGTGAAAGCAGAATGCATAGGATAAGAGTGACAGTAGCATTAGAAAGGTTGGAAACAGGCCAAGACAACACCCACATATACCCCTCACTTTCCGGGGGAAGTTCAGCATTCCTGGAGCATCATGGAATGCTCCCATGATAGTTTCCAGCCCCCAGCCAAGAACACACTGCGCAGTAACTGGAGTTGTCCAGTAATCAAAACCAGAAAATGCTTTCAGTTCTGCTGCTGATTTTATCCCTGCAATGGTACTCTTTGACTCTGTGTCAGAACATACAAGCTTACATTCAGAAAGATTTAATTAAAAGCATGCAGTGGCCAGAGATCCTGCTGCCTGGGGGGAGGAGGGGGAGAGGGGAAGAGAAGGAAAAATATATCAAATGGCTTATAAAGAAAGATGCATGTGCACTTCCTAGCAGAGGATACAGTTTTCTGAACCGTACCATTTGGGGAGCTCCCCCTAAACGATGCTTCCTCGAAGGCAAAAAGATAAACAAACCTTGGGGCCAGTGTAAGGGCTGTGCTCTGCAGCTGCAGCAGCCTCTCAGAAGGTCCCGTCTGTATTGCCTTGGCTTGTTCTTCGAGCTCTCTGAGTCCCCACGTAGAAAGAACTGGCTGCAGAGGCATACTTCAGCCATTGCAGAGAGAGACAGGCTCTGCCAGGCACGATATTTTCTGGAGCTAATCTTTTAGAAGTTGAAAATAAAGAAAGAAGTCCCAGAGTTTTGCTTTCAGCAAAACAGTTATGGAAATATTCATTTCCCCGGCATCTCCAAACATAAGGAGTTATCAGACCTGCCAATACCAATACCTGGGAAGAAGTGAGCCTAGCTTTACATTCTGAAAAAAAAACCCAACAGTCAGCACTGCTCTTTTGGATTGGCTTTGCTCAAGAGAAAGCTAACCATGGAGACACACCAACACTTCCCAGTTTAGAGGTTCCTACACGGGCTCAGAGCAGTACCCGTGTCCTCCTGTCCAGCCCTTCCAACCACATGCCAGTTTGTAGCCAGGTGGTCAGGGAAGGAAATAATCACTGAGACTGCAGAACACGTAGAAATAACCTAGGCATCATTTCTACAGAGACTCACTGCCCTCGGGACACTCTAGAAAGCTTTAGTTGTGCTGACACTTCTATTTGGGCACTAGAAACAAAACTCTCTCCAGGTTTAACAGTCCCAGAGTTCTGAGATGAGCCAGCCAGCTCCACAGCAGCTGCCCAGTACAGTCTCCAGCAGAGACTGAGTTGGCACCTAGGTGAGAGCAAGAGCTGGCCAAGAATATATTGCACTTCCCTCCTCAGTCAGCTCACAGCTATTTTTAGCTGAAGATTTTTTTTCAGCTTTAGATGAACTTAGCCCAAACTTCACCAGCTGGGGGGGAAAGCACCCTATTCTCTGAATTAGCTCCACTTCTCTATGCTGAATTTTACTTGTACTTTCTCAAGCGTTTTGCAGCAAGTTGAGAAAGTCAGAGAAAAATGCCTCTTTTACAACTACTTTTCCTCCCCTTGAAATCAAAGGGAACTCTCACAAAGCAAAACCAACGCTCTTCTAAAAGCACAGATTTCTCCCCCTCAGAAGAGAAAAACAAAGATCATGACTCAGATATGGGGCTGTAACTTCCTCCTCCTATTACTCAAAACCTTTGACCTCTAACATTTCTCCATAGGGTGCCATAGGTCTAGCTGATCTCATCACGTTGTGTTGACACCTGAGACTCACTGCAATTTTCACTGCTCAGAGGAGACCTCTACAACTTCCTGAAGGGAGGTTGTGATGAGGAGGGGTTTGGCCTCTTCTCCCAGGCAACAAACAGGACCTGAGGAAACGGCCGCAAGTTGTATCAGAGGAGGTTTGGGTTGGACATGAGGAGAAACTTTTTCTCTCAGAGTGGTCAGGCACTGCAATGGCTGCCCAGGGAGGTGGTGGAATTGCTGTCCCTGGCAGCGTTCAAGAGGCGTCTGGATGAGGAGCTGCGAGATCTGGTTTAGTGCTTGTGGTAGCAGTGGTGATGGGAGGACAGCTGTACTAGATGAACTTGCAGGTTGTTTCCAACCTTGTGATTCTATGATTCTTGGTTGATCTCTATCTATGATCATTTGCTCCCACCTGACAAAGAAGATCCAAACAGCCTCTTTCAAGAGTAGCCAGTTTATTCCCTAGCTCCTACACTCTTAAACTGGTCTTGAGACACGAGATCAGCTAGCCCCACAAAGAGAACTATTCCTCAGAGTCAGTGAGAAAGCCCTCAAGATACAAGCTATTGCAGCTGGAAGGAAAAAGAAAAAAAAGAAGAAAAGAAGTAAACAAACAAACAAACAAAAAACCAGCAGGTGTGAATGGTGGATGCTTATGATAGTACTGCTACCAGAAGAAACTCTTAGCAAGCCATGACCTCAGCACAAAGCCTCTTCAAACACCAACCTCTGTGTTTGGTGTAAGCTACCATTCCACGTTATACAGACATACAGAAGCCTTTAATAAATACAGCTCCTGATTGCTTTTTAGTTTCATGAAGACGTGCTTACTTGCCCATGGTAATATATTGGGAAAAGAGGTTGAGGAGAGGGGAAGAAGGATTGTCTAAAGACAGTGATATCTATTCTAAAGAATGCCAAGCAGCTTGAAAATGACAGGGTTTAGACTTCCAGATTTCAAGAGACCAGCCAGGGCTGTTAATGATCACTTACACTGCATAGAAATGTTCTTGAATTTCCTCTAATGTCCCAAAACCAACTGTTTTGGCTGAGACAGAAAGATACGGTTTCTTCATAGGTTCAAGTGACAGAAAAAAAAGCATTGTATCCCTTGGTAATTGGCGCCAACTGTTAAACATCACCATTAAAAAATAAGCTTAAATTTATCTAACTGTATGCTCACCTATGCTAAGCTTTCATCTGTTTTTCATCCATGCTCAGGCATCACTTCATGCAATGAAATTTATCCCTGCATTTGCAGGCTGACATAGCAAATGATACTCAACAGTTTAGGCCAGGAAGAAAAGGATGCTGCATTCTGCTGCAAGGCTGTGCTGCCATCTGTGACCCTGAGCTTACTTCTAACTGCTCTGTGTTTCAGAAATAAAAATAAATTCAGCCTTACCTGAGGATCTGAACAGAAACTTGAACAGACTTCCCCAGCAGAATGGTGTAATCCAGTGACACTGACATTCTGGAGTCTGGTGTGGGGCACAACAGTCAGCCAGAACCAAGCTGCAGAATGAGAATTGTGAGAACATAAATTAGAGCCATGTGCATAGAGAGGAGAAAAGGAGATCCCAGGTTTCTCTGTGAACTGTAGTCCCCCACTCTATCACATCAAGATAGCTGTGCCATTCACAATCACAGAGGATCACAGCAGCAGCATTGTGCACAAGCTGTCAGTCCACACATAACAACTCCACGGAGGAAGCGGCACCAACTGGCATTATTTTAACACTGGGCTGTAAACTGTGTCAGAAGTGTTTTCTGCACAGGTCAGTCATTCCTCCCATGAGGGCATGAGCATACAGGGTAGAGGTGGGCACACAGAAGATCCCTGCAGCTCCCTACCAGTACTCAAAAGCAGCAGATCCTCAACAGACCCTTGGACACTGGCAGAGAACTGCTCTTGTGTTAGTAAAACAGCCACCAGGCTTTGCTTTCCCGGCCACAGCCTCAAAACAAGCCACATTGACAAGATGAGGCTTGACAAAGAGTCTGTGTGTAGGTGATAAGATCAGGAATTTCTCTTCTCCAGGATTGAGATGTGCACTGGGATGAGACAGAACAAACAGCAAAGGGGTAGGAGCCCCTTTACATTTAACTGCAATGTTGGATCTGATCTAGGACTGCTAGGTTTCTAGCACTGATCCATCATACTGCTTTCTTTCCTCACAGAAAGAAATATGCACCTGGTTTGTGAATCTTGAAGTAAATCATGCCACAGCCTAACAGTGAGCTTGTGGATGCAGGACATGGCCCACGCTGCCAGGACTCTGGCACTGGGCAGCCCCAGGATCCTGCAGCCTAAGCATCACCAAAGCCAGAATCAACATCTCATCACACACAAACCCACACAAAGAAAAGCAAGCTCTATGCACTCCTTAATGAATTGCCTCAGTGTGACACACAGCACGCAGCAGAGCTGCTTCTCATCTGCAGATCAGTGGTGTTTTCCAGTGATGGATATTTGTCTGTGTGGTTTCACAGCCTACCTGAAATAACTTCAACTAATCTGTTTTCCTTGGGTCTGTAGGCAACATCTGGAGGTTTTGTTTTTGTTTTTTTCCTTGAGAGAACTGATATGAAACCTGTATGTTAGAAACAAGCAGCAGGTCTCTCCTCTCTTGTGCTAATTACCTTCTTAATGACCCTCTCACTTTTTAATTCCAGGTACTTCTCAGTGTAGAAATACCCCCAGACAGGATCAAGGCTTGGAGAGCTGGAGCCAGGACAAAGCCAGTCCTGAACTTAAAACTGAGCTCACCACCTAGGAAAATTCCTGCTTTCTGCTGAGCCTGAGACATGCACTTACACATCTCCCAGATCCAGCCGTAAAAGCAGTCAAACCTGCTCTAGTTTGGATTTACAATTATCAAGCACAGGAAAAAGACAGGAATATGACTTCAAATACCCAGTACTGATTTGGCTCAAGTGTTCCCCTTTTCACGCCTCCAGACTTTTTCTCCCCACTCCCCTATCAGCAGCCCTCTCTGCAAGGCAATCATCAAGTAACATTCAACATCTTGTCTAAACGTTAATCACCCCATGTTTTCTAGCCTACCCGGATGGAAAACCTGTCTGACTGCCCAAGCTTCTGCAGGAAACATGATGAGGTGCTAAGAAAATAATTCTGCTTACAAACTTCTGGTAGCTGGATGGAGCTTTTGGCTGGCTGCCAGCTCTCCCTACACGTTGTCTCACCAAGACTCTCCTTTTGCTTCCTGTTCCCTAGGAAGTCTCTGCAAAGAAACCAGGATTAAATATATATTATATGACAGAGTCAGGCCAAGGCACACAGTCTGAATTCCCAGACAAAGCACAAGACAAATCACGGACGAAGAAACATCATGTGGGCTTACATTTAGCATGAGCCCTCTGTGAATGTGACTGGAACAGCTGCACCTTCCAGCCCAGCAGATTCTGTTAAAACACGGCCTGCAGTGCAACAGATCCCAGAGAGGCAGGAGGCATTTAGAAAGAGACTGTAGGGATTTTACATCATCTTGAGTGCCACCAGGACCACTACCTACAAACGGCGCCTGAGGCACCAGTGTAAAATGAATGAGTGCTCTGAGTCCCAGAGCTGCACAGGTGGAGCTGCAGGACTTCAGTACCTTGATTAGGAAAGGAGGAAATAAAACAGAAAAGCAGTCTGAACTGTCCTCCCCCTCGATGCTTAAGACAGGCACCCAGTGGCCCCTAACACCAGCCACAGCACCTGAGGAGCGAGTGATGCTGTCAGTGTAGCTCCAAGTATATTACCTGCTAGAGGTGAGCTGACAGTAGCAGAGTGAAGGAATATGGCCCAGACATGGCTGGTGTTGTATTCTTAGCCTGCCCAATGTAGTTCTATTCTATGGCTCTGATGCAAGACTCTAAACTCTAATTTTTTTCCATAAGATTAACGAATGTAAAGGCTGCTTTCAATTGTGAAGGTTTTGAAGTATTACCATCAGTAAAACACTTGATTGTGAAAATGTTGGGAATTTAAGTTGACCTCAGTCTTTGTAGATTCTGCACCTGCTCAGGAGGAGCATTAGAGTTAAGCTGCTGTGCAGCCACAGCACGACACACAGTGCTGGGAAATCCCACCGAGCCTGGCTGCACTGTCAACCCAGCAGAAAGCTGAAATCTCACAGGAGAGGCAATTCTAGTGATGTTTCCAGGGCAATTTTGGAGAGCTGAGACATTTCTGTACCAAGGCCAAGGCAGACCTGTCTAGTGCCTCCAAAGATGTGGCTAAGTGGAAAGTTTCCTCCAAAACGATGTGTGTGAGACTTCTGAACTTTCATTTACTGACGAAAGCAACACCGCGTTTTCTTTTTTCTCCAGAATGTTGCATTTCTTTTGGTAGTGGACAAAGAAGTGCCTCTCTCCATCATTCATGCACATTTCCACGCTGCTCAGCAGACAAAGCTTGCAAAAGATGAAAAGGAAGAAAGCTTCTGCCACCAGATTCATGATTTTTAATGAAGTATTTTTCACAATTTTCCTGAGCAGGGAACACCAAAGCAATCGACTCCACCTCACATAGCTGACACTTCTTCAAGAAACAACCATCAGCACCATGAGAACATTCACTGTCATACAGTGGGGAGTGGTGAGGTGCAGACAGCAGCTGAATGAGCTCTATTCAAATGCTTTGCTGAACTGGTGTTTAAGTGAGGAAATGCCCAAGGAAGCCTGGAGCCAGAGTGTTTCCTATGAGACAGTGAATCAAGATCTTCCTCTTCCCTGTGACTCAGTGTCACAGGAGGCAAACTGTAGATGACTTCTGGCTGGCTGAAGCCATAGGCATGGTATTAGGAGCAGGCTGGCTGCTCTGAATGCATGCATGAAGCTGGAGCAGAAGCAGGACAGGAGAGCTGCTGGGTAGGCTCTGTGTCATCACAGCTGCATCTGTTTCAAAGGCCAGCTACCATCGGTCATGCTGTGAAGATGTCAAATGGGGTACAGCAGGCACATGTGGCCTCTGCTTTGTGCTTCATGTGTGAAGAGCTGAGGAGGAAAAAAAAAAACCGCAAAAATCAAGACTCACAACAAAGGAAGAGCTAAGAGCTGGAAGAGAAACGCTTTCTGGTCACAAGGAATAAGCAAGGCTTATTCTTGCAGTTGCGTGCTGGAGAAAAGGCTGCAGGATTATCCCTGCTCATGCAATGCACAAATCTCTTGAAAAAATACAGGCTTTCTGCCATCCCATTCACTCTCTTCAGAGGTGTTCTTTCATGCCTGTAGCTCTCCTCGGTCTCTTGACTGATTCTCTTTACCCAGATCCCCTGTTTGCCATACGCAGGAGATGGACAGTGCTGAAAAGTGAAACATCTTCTGAGTTTCTAAGAAGTCTGCGCTCCTCCCTAGTGATTAAATCACCTCAAAAAATAAAACAAAACAAGGCTTCACATAAGAAAAACAAGGGGAAAAAGGAGATCGTATCTAAAACCAGCCAAATATTAGAAAGTAAAGTGACTGCATTCACATATAAAGCAAACCTGTAGATTAATGTGACCACATCAGAGCCTGCAAGGCCTAGTAACTGTTTCTGCATGGGATTATTGCCCACACCCTTCCAGCAAAAGGTACCCACACCTAATGCCATCTTCTTGCTCGCTTATTGGGAGCTCTTGTTTGGAAACTCAAGCCTAGTATACCAGGAACAACTACTTCCAAATACTTCTTTGATGATTATTCACCCAGTTGCAATATTCCATGAGCATCTGTCACTACCAATTAACGAGAAAATACTATTTGCAAAGTAGAGGTGAACAAATGGTACAAAGACAAGTTCACAGTCTGTCTTAAAACAGGTTCCACTGTTGTTTAACATGGCTGAGGCACATATCCAGCCTCTTCCAAAAAGCTTCCAGGGACTGAGACACTACAGCCTGCCCAGGCAATCTACCCATGACTTTGTCCTCCTCAACTACTCTGCAAAGCCACTCCACTCCAAAGTTTCATGCAGCCAATGTTGCATCAGCCATAATAACTTCTCTGAGAGTAGAGAGACGTGATGAAACATCAGAAAGAAAGAGTGCACAAGGAAACTCTGTGATTCCAGTCCATTGCATGCAGTTAGCCCAAAGAAAAGGAAGTGAAACCTCAGGCCTGGTAAGAACTGTGAGAGTCTGGCAACTGATTTAACAGCAGCCTCTACCTGAGCTGCTGCTGTGTCATCTTCAGAATGGAGAGTGCAAAAACTCCTCATCCATGAAGAAAAAGAAATCCATGTTGGATTGACTGTAAGCCATCAACTCTCACTTCAGGGCCACCTTCTGTGAGCAGCGCTCATAAACTTGAACACACACTGGGCTCTCACTTTAGGAGCACCCCATCTGCGACCCACTCAGCTGGCTGGTACATCGTTGTGCAGACGGGAACCAAACTGCTGCCTGCTCTCCACTTCTTCACTCACTGGGGAGGTCTGTTGCAAACTGTAGAAACTCGAGAGATCCTGGGAGGAAATGGCAGCAGGAGGAAATAAACCGCAATGGTTGGTGTAATTTAACAGCTCTCAGAAGAGCCGGTCTTGATTCCACTGCTGCTCTGCACACTGATGTTTCTGGCACGTGCTCACACACATGTTATCTGTACATACTCAGCACAAGAGGATCTCATCTCTGATAGGAAGCTTTGCACAAAAGGATGAACAGCAGCAGCAAAAGCCCTGATTTCCTCCAAAGAGCCCCATCTCTACACAGAAGCAATCACCCCCAGCTCAATGCTGCATGAAGGCACTTTCTGCCTCCCCATGAAATAACCAGCAGAATCTGCACGATAAGTGCTTCCTGCAAGGCCAAGCAGCAGCAGGTCAGCCCAACGTACAGCCCTGACAAGGAAGCATCTAACACTCTCTGCTTATGCACTGGGAAAAGCTAAAGTCACTCCAAAAGGCAGGGAAGAGGTACCATCGTCAGGAAACATAAGGAGGTAGCAAAGACAACCGAGACAACCACGAAAAATCCATATTCATTCTGTTATTCAGGCTCGAGAGCCCAGAAGAGGCCTTTTTTCCTGGTCTGCAGCAGTATGAAACATCCTTCAGATGACAGCAGCACTCGAACATCCTGCAGTGCCTTTCATGCTGTTTGGGGTAACATGGAAGAGGAAGCCCCGTCTGCTTGCAGCCTCCTGCTGCCCAGGGCACCTCCTGCTTCCAGCTGCCACGCTGCTGGTTCCCACTGAGCTACAGGAGAGCTGGGCAATCCGTTTGGTTTCACAGAAAACAGTTCACAGAGAAGGTATTCAAATTCCCAAACAATCTGGCAATTAAGTATGTGGGTTAGAATCCCCCCCCCCCCCCTTTTTTTTTAATAGCCTTTTTAAACCTAACTTGATTTTTTAGTTGATTTTACATGGGGATAATATATTTACAGTTGAACACAAAGAAAATCTGGAGCTAATTCTATCTCCTTTCACAGTTGCCAGCCTGTAAAGAAGGGATTCCTGCATTTTCTACCTGATTTTTTCCATTTGCCCACCAAACCGTGTGACTGTTGCTCCCATCTCAGCCAGGAAGCTGAGGAGCCCAGTCCATAGACTTCACAGTGCTGGGCCAGCTCCAGTTTTTATCAGCCCTATGCCATTTTGACAAGGAGTTGTTAACTGCCTTCTAACCTTACAGAGGAGTCTAAGCCAACTTCCCCTTGCTGAACCAGACAGATCTCTCAGCTCAAACTGGCAAAGGTTTGTTCATCCTGTTGTTGCACCAGCTGCTCTGTGGATTACACTGACTAGTGGAGGGAGAGTGTTACAGCTCCATTCCAGGCAGGCAGGAGATAACTCATCAGCTGCCCTGTGCAGTAACAGGGCATTGATCCCAGGGATTTCAAGGCTCCCCGGGACCAAAACAGCTCTCTGACAGCAACACCCTCACCTGGGCCACTCAGAACTTAGTCTCCTCTGGAGGTGATTTTCCACCAAGATCTGTGCTTTTGCTGCAGCTGGGCGTAAAGAACAATCAAATCTAATTTCTCACCTACTGCTTATTTCCACAAAGGGAAAAGAAATAAAATATAAATAAATATCTGGAACATCTCAGAGTCCTCTTCCCCTTTGTCAACTCTGGCTGAAATCTGCAGATGGGCAGCAATGACACAGGATGCATTTTTCCCTCAAACTAAACTAAGAAGGACAGTGGATATGTGTTCCTACTGACACGTCTGCAAAAGCAACTGACTGAAGTGAAGACAGTAAATAACAGTCCCCTGCCCCCAGCAGTCACATCCCAAACACTTTACTGGGAGACTGAGCTCACATCCTCTGACTCCTAAACCAGCATCGATCCACCTGACCGATCTCTGGATGAAAAGCATGTCAGGCTAAAAGCAGGGTGCTGTTAAGTCTTCCTTACAGTTTCATGTTAAAAAGAGGAAAGCAGCACAAAGTCCCTGTCACAGCTACGAGTCATCACAGCGTTACTTCTGCCCACGACAACTCCACCGACAGGCTGGCAGAAAAGCTAAATAGAGAACTGAATCAAACCTGCGATGTTCCCAAAAGATGTCCTGAAGTGATCTCCTCTTAGCAGTTATTTTTAATGTAGGGTGGACTGTGTCATCCTGGAATGGAGTCAAATGAAAATAAGAGATTTAAAGAACTTCACTTCCTCCCTGCTGTCCCTGCGCTCTGCATCAGTCATCACTTCTCGGTTTGTAAACTCTTAGTGTGATTTGCACAGGGCCAGGCAAATCAGGCTCTTCCATTTACTCCTATCATGTGTTCTGGTAT